TTTTCCAGATTAAGGAATTGTTTGGGAAAAAAAGAGGGGGGGGGGGGAGAGCAAGTCAGACAGTTTGAAACTTTTCAGAGCAGCATTTCTGTATTTATACTGTTTGCCCCAGAATTACAAATGGACAAAATTCCACTGAGCTTCTTGGTGCAACAGTCAGACCTTCCCCTTGGTCAGACATTCCCTCCCCTGCCACATCCAGGGCCTGGAGTCAGTGCTTCTCAAGGTGCACTTACATTGCATTAACAACCTTGGGGAGAACCCAAGGCTTTGGGTGACAAGTGTTCAGGATGTGACTCATCAGACTAAATACACATGTCACTGATTAGTCTGTCTAGAAGAGCCTTCAAATCTCAGGTCATGGATTTGCTTTGGGCTCATCGGACCATCCCTGGAGGAGTCAGGTCAGCCAGTGCGGGATCTGTTGTGCCACCACTGAATGTGCATGTCATGAACTATGGGCTGCTGAGCCACCAGACAGAGCACCCGGCCTTACCCAGTATGGGGCAAGATGAAGGTCCTAAAATCTCTGTGTGCAACACGCAGCTGGTGCCAGCTGGTTGTGCCTTGCCTGCGCATCTTGGAGCTGGACAGTTTGAAACATAAGCATATTTTGTCCCCTTCAAGGCACTGTGACTGTCCCTCTCACCTACCATCCCTCCCAAAGAGTATGTGTTTTGGGGGAGTGCCAAGGGCAGTGCCAGACTTGCCAAAATCCAGCCCAAACTACTGCTGCTGGTCAGCATAAGGCTGTTCACCATCACTCAGGAGTTTCTCAGAAGAGAAATATGAATTGCAGGGTAACAGTGGCAGAGGGCAGTTGCATGAGCTGTGCAGTCCCTCTGCACTTCTCCATGATCCAGAAGACTGGCAAGAAGCTGGGCAGCACTGCTCCCACCTGCCAGTCTGTCCCTCCCCATGGGGGCTGCAGGATGCCTACAAAACCCCGGGGGTCTGTGGTGTCTCTCAAGGCATCCCAAGGGATGCTACACCCCAGCCCTGTGCTCTGCCTGGGCATCCCTGCAATTTGTAATTCTCAAACAGAAACAAGATGGTGAGGGGGTTACTTTGGTTTCCTTCCTCAGTTCAGGAATTTTGTACAGAAAAAGCACTGATGCAATATAGTGAAAGCTGTACATAAAGCGATACTGTGCCTGGTGTTTGGCCTTGGTTTTCCCCTGTACATTTTGGTGGGGATTTTTGTAAGGAACTAGGAAGATTTGAAAATGTGGGAGAAAGGGCTTGAACATTTTCAAAACAATAGATGATTCAGATTTATAAAAATAAACCCAGAGCAATTCAGATGCTACTTCTCTCATCAGGGCTCATTTCAAAGATCGTAATTAGAGCAAATCTGATATACATCAGCCAAGCCCAGGCAGGAAAAAAGTGCTTCTAATGGAAGCTTGAAATCACATCTATGTTTTAGATGCATCCTTTGGACGTGCCACCACACATACATCTGTGGAGAGCAGACAGTTTGGAATAAAACAGGGTCCCCGTTTGCTGGTAATGAATACTGACTCCAGCCTGCAAAAAACTTCATCTGATCTCATCCAACCATCCCCATGAGATCAGCATCTTTTATTGAGTACAATTGAGTGGCCTGCATTTAAAATATAACTCGTAGCATCTCTCTCCTCTTTATATGTGGCTTTGGGATAGAATCTGATGAAACTGATTAAACTGAAATATGACTGAGACTTGTAATAAACAAATGGTAAAATCTTGAATGTAATGTCATTGTCAGGGTCGCTGTTAGGTGGTAGGAGAGTTGTCATCAGCACCTTGTGAAGGTCCTGCACCTGGGTCAGCACTACCCCAGGAACAAATACAGGCTGGAGAGCAGTCCTGAGGAGAAGGACCTGGGGGTAGGAGGAGATGAGAAGCTGGACATGAGACACCAGTGTGTGCTGGAGCCCAGAGAGCCAATTGTGTCCTGGGCTGCATCAAAAGAAGTGTGGCCAGCAGGGCCAGGGAGGTGATTCTGCCCCTCTACTCTGCTCTGGTCAGACCCCACCTGGAATACTGTGTACAGCTCTGGAGTCCTCAGCACAGGAAAGACAGGGAGCTGTTGGAGAGGGTCCAGAGAAGGGCCGTGGTGATGATCAAAGGCCTGGAGCAGCTCTGCTATGAAGACAGGCTGAAGGAGTTGGGGCTGTTCAGCCTGGAGAAGAGAAGGCTCCAGGGAGACCTTATAGTGACCTTCCAGTACCTGAAGGGGCTACAGGAAAGCTGGGGAGGGGCTTTTCACCAGAAGGGACAGTGATAGGACAAGGGGTAATGGTTTTAAACTGAAAGAGGGGAGATGTAGGTTGGATATCAGGAGGAAATTATTCACCATGAGGGTAGGAAGGTACTAGAATAGGTTGCCCACGGAGGTTGTGGAAGCCTCTCCCTGGAGGTGTTCAAGGCCAGGTTGGATGAGGCTTGTGCAGCCTGGTCTGGTGGGAGGTGTCCCTGCTCATAACAGGGGGGTTGGAACCTGATGATCTTTAAGGTCCCTTCCAACCTTCACCGTTCTGTGATTCTATTTGTAAAGTATCCACGAGCCCTGAGCTGCCCCCTGGTCTCATGGTAGCACCGAA